GTTTGACCGCATGCGCGTGCTCCGTTTATGGTCAATTCGTGCGATCAACGAGTTGACGTTCTCTAACCTGGCTAGGGCAGCCATGCCCTTATCGCTGACCCATCGGCATCCGTTCAAGTTGATGCATCTCAGCTGCCTGCAGTTATCACCAAGTATAGCTAGGAAGCGATCGTCAACCGACAGCATTTGGGAAGTTTCGAGATCCTAAACTTGGTTGATTTGGCTAGTATGGGAGAAACTCCAAGAAAAGTTCTACTAGAAGGTTTCGAGCTCCTCGAGCTATTGCAAATAGCACCCTGTAGGTAATCCTCATGCGACAAATTTTCAACGAACGAAGACGTGATCCTTGCGATTTGGCACCACCTATAATCCTTTCGCTTTTACTCGGTTTGGTGACTGTAGTGTGAGCTGAACTTACCTGCGAAGTAGCGCTGAAGGATGTGGGTGCTGAGATGATTTACATCAAGCGCGAGATGAGTGAGATTTGGAGTGCATTCGGTGATCAGACGTAGAGAGTCGTCGAAGAGTCTTGGAGTGGCCACCTAGATGAAAAAAGCGGCTTCACTTGTTCAAAAAAGCCCCTGCATAACAACTAATTTCCATAGGCCAGTCCCAGACGAAAGCGGTTGCCCTTATGAGCGAGGCGTGCGCGAGCATACGAGCTCGTGAAAATGCTTGGACTTGCCGTTCGAACCAGCTTCGCAAAAAGAACCGACCGCTTTCGTTAGTCACCCTTCGGGAAACTGCTGCTCAAGGATTACAACCGCTGATGCAGTTTGTATTATATAACGCAGAGCAAACGCCTGTGACTCGCAAGGTGCGGCTATACTTCACGCGATCCCAGTCGCCGCGCAATTGTTTTGCAAAGAGTTCATGTCTTCGCATGCCGTTTTTGCCTCAGCTTACAAAAATTAGGCGCCTATGCGCGAATATCGAAAACGTTGAGTTTGTATATATCGGACAAATTTTCAAATAGTGCTCGCCACGCGTGGTAAAATCGCTTGAAGTATGGCCGCGGAGGCACTGATGCATTTGAAATTATTTTTCCATCCAGCCAATATCAATGATATTCGAAGAAAGAGCCCACGTTTTTGGGCAGGTGGATTGATTTGTTGGAAAAATTCATGTGAGTCATATATATCATTGAAAAAATCACCGTGAGGATTGTGATTTTGCTTCCAATATATGGTAAAATTGTGCTTAACAACGTATTTGCATTGTCGATGGCAGCCTGAAGAAAGGAAACATGTACATGCTAAAACTTTTTCCTTGAGGAAAAATTTACAAAATTTGAAAAAAAAATCCAAAAAAAGAAACGCACGATACTAGCGTCCCTTATGCTGAGTTGGAGGTTGATGTTCTTCAGATGGGGTTGAGCTTCTAGACTTTTCACCAATTCGAATGGATTCTCATCGCCATTAACTGATAAACGCAGTGAATGCACAGTAGGAGGAAGCTCAGGCAAAATTGTGAAATAATTTCCTGGAACAATGTCATGAAATATGTAAAAAAACATTGTTTACTCTACTTACCGTATAGATCGATATCACGCAAGTTGAAGCCATCAATCTTGAATT